TTAAACCTGTGAAACAAAATAATAGCTTTTTTTCATTTTTGATTTCACTACACTATGTTTGGTCTTGACGCACAATTAAACTAGCTTGTATCTTGTCTGTAAAACTAGTTTCATAATAATAATTGCCAAAATGTAATAATGTTATGATACCTCTGATCGGTGTACATCATCTACGCCATCTATTACATCTACTAACTTTGATTTTCTTCGTTTTTGTCTTCTTAATTCAAGATCGTTAAATAACAAAATCTCTTTATATCAAGGATTACATTGTCGAACGAAAATTGGAACGAAAACTGTGACTGAGACTTGGCTCAAAAACTCTCCTGACTTTCACTTTATTATTCGTGATGTTTGTCCTTTTGGTTATTCTATTTTCCATATTCCTCGAAAAGATCGTTGTGGTGGTGGTGTTGCTGTGATTTATTGTAATTTTTTGTCCGTAAAACTCTGTGAATCTGCMATGAATCTACTCTTTACAGGTCGTTTGAATCAATGGAGTTATCTTTCCGTACGCGTGATCAATTACTTCGCGTTGTTGTTATTTATCGTCCTCCATCATCGTTCGCCATCTTCAAAGATGAATTTTCCTCAATGTTGGAGTCGTTAGTTGTTTCTCCTGGTAAATTGCTGATTTGTGGTGACTTCAATCTCCAGTGTCAATGACTCTAATGACTACTCTGGAATCAAGTTTTTAGAATTGATTGTGTTTTGATAGCACAAAACCGACTCATAAGAAGGGTCATACTCTCGATCTTCTAATTACAAGAGCTGATGAAGACTTGGTTCACAATTTGTTTGTACATGAACCTGTTTTATCCAATCATTTTGCTGTTCGCTGTCTATTGTCTATTGTCAAACCTGTCAAAAAATCACGATTTGTCACTTATCGGAAACTTCGTTCAATTGACTTAGATGTTTTTCGTCAAGATATTACTGAGTCATTTCTATGTAAATCGYCTGCTACTGATGTGTCTGATCTATGKCGTCAATGTGACTCTGTTCTTTCTACACTTCTTGATAAACATGCTCTCATACTCCTGCTCGAACAAAACTTGTGTCTTTTCGAAGAGGCGCACCATGGTATAATGATGAAATCCGTGAAGGCAAAATAAAAAGACGTCAAATTGAAAGACGCTGGCGTAAATCAATATTAACAGTTAACCGTATGATCTGTAGTAAACTAAGTAAACTACCATCTTCTCCGTCATCCTGTGAACTTGCAAATACATTAATTGTAAACTTCTTCAACGACAAGATTGTGAACATTATAGGAATGATTTATCTTCTCGTGTGATGTACTGTGACTCTGATGTTTTGCTAAATTTGATGAGCCATCAATTAACTGTACTTTTTCTTCGTTTGAACCTGTTACTGCTAAAGATTTATCTGTCATGTGTAAAAAACATTTTTCAAAGTCCTGCAGCCTCGATCCTATTCCTGCTTTCTTATTGCGTCAGAATCTTGGTTTGTTGTTGCCTGTCATTTGTAACATTATTAATAAGTCGCTGTCATCTAGTTCTGTTCCATCGTGCTTGAAAACTGCTGTTCTACGAAGCCTGTTAAAGAAGCCATCCTTAAATAAGGAAATTCTAGCCAACTACCGTCCAATGTCAAATTTAAAAATGGTCCCCAAGGTAATAGAGAAAGTTGTTGCAGTTCAACTAAACAACTACCTCTCAGCCAACTCGCTTCATGAACCTTTTCAATCTGGATATAAGCGACATCATAGCTGTGAAACTGATCTTCTACGTGTTTGTAATGATATTCTTCTCTCCCTTGATAATCGAAATTGTGTTGCCATGTTGCTGCTTGATTTGTCAGCTGCTTTTGACACTGTTGATCATACTATACTTCTCCGGTGTCTTCGCACTTAATTTGGTATTGGTGGTTCTGTTTTTAACTGGTTCAAATCGTATCTATCTGATCGTACTCAATTTGTCTCTGTTGATGGCGTCAATTCCCATTCTCCCCTTCTTGGCTGTGGTGTACCCCAAGGTTCAGTTCTTGGTCCTCTCTTGTACATTCTTTACTTTTTCACCTGTTGCTGATATCCTTCGAAAACATACGATGTCATATCATATCTATGCTGATGACACTCAATTATATGTCCCATTCTCCTGCAATGATGACTTGTCCTTTGATGATGCCATGAAAAGAATAAATAATTGCCTCTCTGACATTGATTCCTGGATGACACTTAATAAACTAAAACTGAACAAAGATAAAACTTAATTTTTAATTTTTTCTTCAAAAACAAATCCTCAATCTTCCACGCGTAATCATCTTGTTTTTGGTTCTGAACTAATATATCCTTCGAAAACTGCAAGAAACATTGGTGTTATTTTTKATTCTTCTTTAACCATGGTTCCTCACATAAAGAATACCTGCAAGACTGCATTCTTTCACCTTAGAAATCTTTCCAGGATCAGAAAATATCCATCTCTCAAATCGACTGAAATCCTGATCCATGCCTTCATCACTTCAAAACTTGATAATTACAATTCTGTTTTATATGGTCTGCCGAAAAGTCTCATAAATCGTCTACAATCTGTRCAAAATGCTTCTGCTCGACTTGTATCTCTCGCCAGGAAACGCAACCATATCACTCCTATTTTAATTAATCTTCACTGGCTACCTGTTGAATTTAGAATAAAATTTAAAATTCTTCTTCTGGTCTTCAAAGCTCTGAATTCTGCTGCTCCCATTTATATCCAAGACTGACTTGCTCAAAGATATTAATGTGTGATACACAAGAATGAGAACAAAAACAAAAAAACGTGAAAGTATCAAATGTAATGAAGTGTAGTACTCTAGTACTCTAAGTGTATTTCACAGGTTAATAATTAGGGAACTTCAGATTTGGCAACGAGTACGAGATTGAGWACGAGTACGAGTTTTAAAATTGGCCTTAAGTATGCTATTAATCATGAATCKCATTCCTGCGAGTAGATTGAAAGATCAAAGAAATAAAAACATGAAGTGGATTGAAATCCGGTAAGGACAACACAACAAAAAGCTGGTTTGAAAACTCGTACTCGTACTCAATCTCGTACTCGTTGCCAAATCTGAAGTTCCCTTRATCACTTCTATTGTTGAGTATGAGAATAATTTATAGTAAATATCAAAAATAAAATACTTAATGCAGCTACAATTATTTTTCCCTTATAGTTTACAACCTTCCTGAGTCTGATGACCAATCTTTATTGGCAAGGAAGCGCAACACAGCAACATTTTGTGGTATTGTGTGCTGTGGACCGCTTGGCTGAAAGTCTGGAAATTGGTAAACAACTACTTTATTATGCTAGTAATTGTATTAGGCCTTGAAAGTATGCATAACGTGCGGGMTGCGGTTCGCGGGTCACAATTTGCGGGCTGCGTGTCACAATTTGTGGGCTGCGGATCCCAATTTGCGGGCTGCAGGCACAATTTGCTGGCTGCCGGTCRCAATTTTCGGGTCATAATTCRTTCCAAAAATTATTTAACAAAATCAAAAAAAAGACCATTATATTAAACAAAAACAACAAGCAACCAAAATACATGAAAAACAGATCAGACAAAAGCAAAACAATGAGAGTATAACAGTAATTAATTCTGTATTTTATTGAAAACTCAAAAATGAAAATTCGACTAGGAAAAGTGCTATTTTCATGAAATAGAATGATTTTTTATCGGACTGTAAAACAATTAATAGTAAAATGATAAGCAGATTCTAACAGTTGTATTAGAACAAAAGAAAATAAGTCTATTTTTTATGGTTGAAGCAGGGTCTGAATGGGGTTAACTGTTTACTGAGAAACAGCTAAAATGATAACTGTTACATATAACTGAGAGGTTTATTTAGCTGATAATTGATATTAACAAGATAACGGTTAGCTGTTTTTTTTTTTTTTTGGTTGCACATTTTTTGCATGTAGATTCAGACCCTGTTGAGGGTCTATCCTGTAAGCTTCCAGCAACTATTTCACAGTCCGATGAACACAACTCCAAACAAATACCAAGGTRACTAGTACTCACTGAGCAAAAACAATCTATTCTTAGCACTGAGTGTTGTTCCCAAAGGAAATTAATATACAAAGGAAACAATTTTCGAATCGATTTTTTCTAAGGGCGACTAAATACGAAATACAAAAACCATCAACTTKGCGAGCAACATTCTTTGTGTTCAAGTTTAGGTTCGATGTTTCTCCTTTTTGATCGCGCGCGATCAACTTAGCACGCAACAAAATCCTCTGTTGTGAGTTTTGTTATTTCTATGTGCATGCTATTTAAATTTCTATGCAAGCTCTGTGTAGAAGGCTATTAATTATAATCTATGCTTTTCGTATGTGTATGCTATTCAGTTCTTAGTTAAGCCCTATGTACAACACTATTCATACTATATGCTATGTCTAGAGTGGTTTTAATAAACCCGTGAAACAAAATGTAATAATTAGGGTGTAATAGATCGTAATAGTCGCGTAGAGACAATAAAAAACAAAAGAGTCAAAGTGTAATAACGATAAATACGCTAGAATGTGTTTCACGGGTTAAGGAAAACCACTCTATGTGTATCCTATACAATATCTATGCAAGACCTATGTACAAGACGGCTCCAACATGCATAGCTTTTTAATACTAAAGTGTAAAGTGTTCCACTTGACTAGCAAAAACATAGCTCTGGCCTAGGAAATATATAGCATATAATAATATATTTTACTAGCTTCAGTACACAGCATTCAGTGACACATAGGTTTTGCATATGTCTGGGAAGTGTCAAAAGTAAATTGAGCCAGGAGATACCATCGTGGKATGTCCTAACCTCGTGCGCAAATGTTAGCCTGCAGCCCGCAAATATTAGCCCTCAAACCGCAATATTTAGCCCGCAAAACGGGCTACAAAACGCTCATAAGAGGTTATTAACCGAGCGCGAGGTCTGTACGGGAAAATATCAGACCGAGGTCTTGACAGTACGGACCTCCCGCATACATAAAAGACCAAGGTCTGATATTTTCCCGTACAGATCGAGCAAGCGAGGTTAATAGTAACTCATTTATTATATGACTTATACATSGTAGATTATGTAGAAGAATTACTCAAAGTATATAGGAAAAGTCTCACTAGCTAACTTACAACTCGTTGCCTCCTATGAGGCGCCATACAGGACAATATTGTATAAGAATAAATATTTAAGACAAAGAAAGATATATAAACTGTAATGATATATATGGCATTTGCAAATATATATGGCTATTGTTAATATTATACGGCTATTTTGCAAATACATTCGGCTGTTCTGTTACGAGTATTTATGGTCATTGTGCAAATATATAGGGCTATTGTATAACAAATATATACGTCTATTGTGTAACAAATATATACGGCTATTGTGCCCGCTATCAATTTGGTCAGCGGAAACAGCAGAAAACAATATGGCGAGTGATAGTGTTGACTTCGAGGAATTTTTCCAACAATCTGTTCCCTCTTTCTTCCAGCAAGCTTTTAGGAACCTGCACAATGAAAACATCAATGCTTTGGAGTATTTTGAACGTCTTTCTTCCAGCAAGCTTTTAGGAACCTGCACAATGAAAACATCAATGCTTTGGAGTATTTTGAACGTCTTTGATAGATAGCTTTAATAGGAAAATCAGCCAAAAAGGCTGAATTGCATGATATTTACAATAATAAATAGGGTATAAGATGTGGAATAATAATGATAAAATTCTTAAATGTAACTATATTACAAGGATAATAAAGATAAAAATTCCTTTATAGAAAATAAGACGGAATAAATCTATTTTCTACTCATGGTAGGGAAAAAGGTGGAGCTAAATCGTTTTGTACACGTTTTTTGCGCAGCAAAACGGCGCTGTTTCCGTAGTCTGTACGGGCAATTGTTCTTGTCCGGCAAAAAATGATGGAGTTTGTGCTCTGGTTGGGAGACTATCTGTTCGAACAACTTTTGACAGTGGTCGTCACGTCTTTCAAGTATCTCATTCATACAGCTGCAATKCGTCGTGATAAGAAAGTGCAGGAGTTATTATAGATAAAGCACGTTTCTGGATCCGWTCTATGTCCTTACATAGATAATCCGGTAAGGCATAATGATATAGTGGTGCACAATATTCTAAAACGGGTCTAATACAGGTGATGAAAAAACTGACGATGTCGCAGGCAGGAATCTTGGCACGCTTGAGCAACACCAGAAAGTACATCCGCTTATGACAATTCCACTGAAGTGAGTCGCTTATGGTGACGCCTAGTACTTTAACGCATTCTACTTGTTCAAGTTGTTTAGAGTTCAAAGTTAATGCGTCGAATTGTTGCTTTGATYTTTTGAAGTCGATTCGCAGTTCATGGAATTTGTCCGCGTTAAGTTGAAGCTTGTTGGTGTTGGACCACATCTCGACCGCTGAGACTGTCTCCTGCATCGTACTTTGACCTCYTCTAGGGATCACCTCAGCCAGCCAACACAAAAAGCCATGGGCCCAGTTTGGTGCCCTGGGGTACGCCTGATGGAACGGCGCCCCATTCTGAAAAACAGTCACTGGATAGCTTAACTCGTTGGCGCCGATCCATCAGGAAGTAACATCTTTTAGGTGATCATGCGCATGTTTTATTTACAATCATGGAATACTGATGTTGTCTTTTTAAAACTGTTTTGCAAGATACACCAGCATCCTTAGGAATCTCTTTCCACACACCATGAATATCATATATAATCGTTGTATTCTTTCTTCTGGGATCTGAAATCAGCGTGGCCTGTCAGGTACGTATTTCAGACTGTTCAGTTGGGTATCTCTACGGACACCAAAAAGACTTTGAAACTGACCATTTAAGCCAACGATATCTTCATGCAAAAGATAAAGTAGTCGGAGGAAATCGTCGCTGGTGTTGTGCTCTTCGCATTGAAAGATAAAGCACTTATAACTTACGCATGATCACCTAAACGATGTTCAAAATACTCCAAAGCATTGATGTTTTCATTGACAATGTGCAGGTTCCTAAAATCTTGCTGGAAGAAAGAGGGAACAGATTGTTGGAAAAATTCCTCGAAGTCAACACTAT